TTTCGATACTCGAACCTTTAGAATGAGAGGCGAACATCGTACCTCTAGCCCCTGAGAGCCCTATTCCGAAACAAATGTCAGATCTGAATTCATACACCAGACGATCTCATGAAGAAAAATTGGACCAAGCCTCAAAAAATTTTTAACAAACTTTATTAGCGTCTCGAAATAGGAAAAACAAACAAAGCACGTGATAAAAACATCTACATGTAATATGAAGTATTCAGTTAAAAAACAATGGAAGATGACGATTCTTTTGACACAGTTATGTTACGCACTCTCTCTCGTCAAGAAACAAATAACAATGGAACGTGCACTATTGTGAGATGGGGGTATGGGAGATGAGTTAGCACGCGTTTACTAAATTCAACAATAATCCACCACACCATTAAAAAAGTAGTTCACACACATATTAACTGTTAATCAAACATTTCATGAATTGTAGCAGCCCAACGCAAAAAATTCAGATGACAAAAATTCACCTATTAACAATCCCTGGCATATTATAACAATACATTTACATGAGATCTGAATACTTGCAAACATTCCGCACCTATACCCGACTAGCTGGGCCCCGTTTCGATGAAAGGAATGATCGATGCATAAACATCAACGGAAAGTCATTGGCCTACAATATTTACACTCTACTGGAATTGGAGCAATAAATCTTTAAAGATGCAAAAAATTATAAGGTATAGTTCTATAGCCCTACTCTCAAAACAAAATGCACCTCGCGAAATATCACTTTCGGCACTTCCGCTGTAAAGGTCAGCTACGCAGATTTGTTTCGTTTCTCAGTGGAATAATCACAAAAAAGGACTGGATCTTTTTGTTGAATATATTTTTTCGAATTCAGGAAACGAATAAATGAAAAATCGGGCTCCGTCATGTGGGACTATTTATCTTTTTGCAGGTGCTTGCCAACTTTCAACTCTCTAGGCCTAGCTGTTGTAGTTTTATGGGAAAAGTGACACATGTGTTTCCAAGTTCCAAATATATAATAGATTAATAAATTAACTACATTATAATATATGTATGTGATTTTATTTTAAAACACTGACATGGTCAGCAGAAAAAAAAGAAAAGAAACCTAACATCATAACAGTAATTAAACAAGCAATGATAGCGTTGGGCAGAACATGATGAGCAAAGTGTTCAAATTTGTTATTAAAGTAAGAGTTTTAAAAGTTCCACAGTGCTTGCAACACAATTAGGTCATGCAAATGTCGAAGATTAGGTGTTACAAGAGTGTAAAAGACAAAAACAAAAGAGAAATAAGGGCGGTAGATGTTTGATAGGAAATAGGGAGCAAACCACATCAGAAGAATACCCGCCTAGCAACCACTGTTGCTCTGGCACGTCCTTCTGAAAAGTCGTATTAGATCTACTTGTCCTTGTTTAAAACCCTTTTCAGTGGCGTCCGTATCCTAGAGGTTAGGCTACAGGATTCGTAATCGTGAGGTTGCGGGTTCGGGGGTTCGAGCCTCGGTCTTTGAACGTTATGAGGTCCCAAATAAGAGGCCGGGCTCTCACAAACACAACAACTTTCTTCTTGTAGTCGTCCATCTCGAGTTCACCTGTACTGTCTGACATACACCTCACAAAAAATATACAAGTTGATTTTTTCAATACACGCAGTTTTCGTTACCGCTGTATCGTGTCGTCCTGTGAGAGGCAATATTCTAAATCTTGTCCGGGGGGGGGGGGGGAGTTGTGGTCTGGAGGTTAAGGTGTTCGCCTCTCATTCAAAGGTCCCGGGTTCGAATCCGGGTAACGACCGAAAAACATTTCTTCTCTGAAATTGTCTTCCTTCATCTTCTTTCCTGCTATCTAGCAATATTCTGTCGTCTGCTTTCCTCTCCACTTTCTGACCCCACTCCTTCTCGGACAAGGGCGAAAAATCTTGGAGATCCCGTGTGCAAGTTGCGCACGTTAAAGATCACTTGGTTGTCCAAAATCGATAAGAGTAGGCTTCGACTGCCACCCAGGCAAAATTCAAAATTTCCTTCCAACTTAAAGTGTTAGGTGTGCCTGGCGCGCTCATATGACCTTATGCAGCCGCGAGTGCCGTGAAACACTTACAAAAAACAAAAAAAGGTATTTTGCCTACTTTTGTTTTAACGCGCGAGATGTGTTTTGTGCCGTCTGCCGCGTGCCGAGTGCCGTCTGCCTTCCTATAGAAAATCGATCTTATGGATACTCTTCAGATGCATGTTTAATAACTCTTGTTGGCTCCTCTTTTCACATTGTATCAAGTACAGGGTATTTCTGTATTTATCTCATTGAATTTAGGTACACATATAACATGCTTTACTTTTACTACGGTTTGAAAAGCATTATGAAAAAAATTCATTATCTGTTAATTAAAAAATTATCATTTTAACAATATATATATATATAATACATTGAATATAAAATCACACTTCACACGACATTCGAATGGCTCGGTCACGCTTCGAATAGCTGTGAATGTTTATTTTCAAAAAAGACAAAAATGTAAAATCTAGAATGTTGAACAGAGTTATGTCGAATGGACACAGCCCTTCATCCCATTACCGGTACTAGAGTCTGGTGCCCGCCCTGAACTGTCGCCTACGGTAGGCTAGTATGCCTACCGGGAGTTCTGGTACCGAGAACCGGTTCCTGCTCAGCCCTGGTCCAGGGGTGGGAGTGCCATTAAAATTTGATAGGCTAGCTGTGTTCTCTGATTGGTCGGGGCGTTTTCTATTCACTCAACTTGGTCTCGACTTGCTGCGCTCAACAGTACAATTTGCACATGGTGGTGGAAATTGTGACGCGCGTAGAGACGCTTTGTTCACAGAAAGCGGTCCTGGAAACGAGCATGTCAGAGTGTTAGTGCTTTTGTTTAATAACTTATGTATCCCGTATTTTCACATTCCTACAGGTAAGATGTTTTACATTCAACTTCATAATTTGTCTTTTTCTTAATATGATTATCAGTTTGAGCCCGTCACTTTCAAATTGAGAATGTGAGTACCGGCAATGCGAAGACTGAGTAGGGAAAGGTCTTTGATGTTTACGCGCACGTGCCAAGATCTACTTGTTTGTACGTTACTACAGCAGTTGTTTTCGAGATTTTGGCTGTGGAAAGGAAAAGTGAGTTTTATTATTCTAGTGTTATTTCTAGTTTTTTGATAAAACAGAAAACGAAATATGTTTCCCTTAAATTTTATTTAAATCTTGAAAGAGAAAAGGTTGTGGGCCTCATAATAAAATAAAATTGATTACATTTTTATTGGTCTCAGAAGGGCAATTTGGTTTGCAATGGAAAACATAATAAATAAATACAACTGTACACAATTATAAATACATACAAACATAAATACATACACATTTACATACATAAATGCACATTACTACACCGACACAGAACAATTTCACAACCTTGCCCATTGCTGGTCGATACTGTGCAGCGCCCTGGTTTTTTTTAGCATGGGTTATCGTGTCTTGCTCAAGGACACACCCCAGTTACCACCCATCTGATCACCGTGTCACCGACACCTGCTTGACTCACTACTCACTCAGCCAGTGGAGAGAGATATCTGTAGCTCCACGTTGTTCTCGTTGCACTTGCCTGTTAATGCTGTAGGGTATAACTTAGCTTTGATTCCACTTGACCATGGTATTTGGCTCAGTGGTCAACGTAGACGCGTTTGTATCTGTGTTTTGCCTATATAATTCATTTTAAGCTTTAATCGAGGCCATATAATTATTTACGACTTCTTTACCGGCCTTCATTACTTTATTAGTAGTTGGGCCTAACGTTATTTCTACGTTTAACTTCTGACTTCGTTTACTTCATAAGTCGAATGATGGATGGAATATTTATATGCACATGAATCTATTGTCTTAAATTGAACGTCATACCCTTGATATTCTGCCTAACCTTTTCCCTTTTGCGCATGAAGAGACATGTGCAGGACTAAGAGCAATGGACCATTGTTGTGAAGAATCCGTTTATATTTTGAAATTTGGCTCCTATGCACCTCAGCTATTAATTTAATATCCAAGGTGTGACTTTCTTGATGACAGACTGCTCGACAAAGACACAATTATCCGCCTTCTCCTGAAAACAAAATACCGTTATTCGCAGAAATGCCCCCCCCCCCCCCCCCCCCCTTTGGATTTTTTAAATAGAAAGGACTTCTGTATCAAGCGATCCCCACAACAAACACAGTAAAGAGGCCTAACCCTGATCCTGACACTAACCCTTACCATAGCCTAAACCCTAACCTTTACCCTAACCTCAACTATCTGTTTCATAGTGGCTGGGTGTTTCTAGTATGCGTCCTGATTCTCTGCTCAAGAGCTCCGATAAAATAAGTTTGTGCTGGAGATTACACGATGTGGCTTTTTTTCTTCCCTGTTTGAACAGAATTAAGTCTGAAATTTATGTAGAAGAATCAAACTGTATATATCTAAATTACATAGAAAAATACAAGAATTGTTGTCTTCCAAAGCCTTGAAACATATTTGTGAAGGGCGCTCATATGACCTTAGCAGTTGCGAGCGCCGTAAAACCTTATACTATACATACATACAACCGTATAAGATCTAAACATTTTAATGGTTTTAACGGTGACAAAATAAGTAATGTAAATTGGTTTGCATTTATGTATCCTGTTCAGGTGGCTAATTATTTTTGACTCAATTTGTTTTCTCTTATTCTGGAAAAAAAGATGCTCATGGTGTCTTACTTCTGTAGGGGTAAATAATGGATTCGAAGAAGGCGGCAATTTTGGCATTTTGTTCACTACGGTTGAATATTTGCACTGTTGGGATGCTTGTGACTTTTGCGGACATACTTCAAAGGTCTGACAGTCATCAGAGTATTTTGTAGCCATGAACCAATTTATACTAGAATGGTAATACCCATTGTAGTAAAAATACATATTAGACTCAGAGTAAAATGAAATAATATGTCTGCTTCTCTTCTCCAGGTTCTTCCAGTAATAATTTTCTTCAGCTGCGTAATTACCATGCTTTACCACCCCTGTGTTATGCAAGTCATCATCGGCAAAATTGCCTTTGTCATGAGAGTTACCTTGGGCACCACAGCTGCTGAGTCTTTGTGTGCTGCAGGGAACATCTTTGAAGGACAGGTGAGAAAGTATATATGGCCGTCTGTCTGTACTTACTTTGTCAGTTTTAATAATTTAGTAAGAAGATAATTGAGATAATTGCTTGAAGTAGAATTTTGGTGGCCTCTGCTTCTTCATGTATGTACCATCAATTTGCTCCCTTAATTTTAGGCCTTCTCTGTTTGTTTAGGTATTGCACGAATTTTTTATTTTTTTAAATCAGTCTTGTTTCACATATAAAATCCCTTGTGTCGCGGTGCGGTGGAATTAATCGCCCGTCAATTTTCGGCTTACAGGGTGTCATCTTTAAGCTTGTATCTTTGTCTTGCATTTGGCAGAAAAGAATGTATCTATCTTGAATAGAAGTTGAGATATTTGCAATTGAAGGAGGCGGTGGTCGCTTCGTATGGGAGGTAAAATAAGCGAGACAATGGTCGCCGAATTTTGGTGACTTCCAAAGCTTGAGTATCCTTGAAGACGGGAAGTTTACATTTTTTTGTGCCTTTAATGAACTTTTCTCGATAACTTCCACACAGAAATGCGTTTTATAAAGGACACAAAGACGTAAAAGGTGTTCAGCCAAAATATGAAAGTTTGAAAAACAAATTTCCGAACACCCAGAAAAATGCCGGTTTCTTTTATTTCATTGTTTTGACGAGCGTGTTATTTCATAATGCTGCCTCGCAGAGAAGTTGTTTGTTCAGTCTTGACATGGATTCTTGATAAATTGTAACCTTATTGTGTTCGTACTTTATAAAAATAAATTAAGTGAACCCTTTCGGCCTTTATAAACATACTACCTTTGTTACCTGTAACCTTCCCAAGAGTGTTTTAAATTCCATTTTTGTATCCTTGACCAACTGTGTATACAATTGATAAATCAATAACTATTCCCAACTAAGCCCCTCCCGTAAAAAAGTATATTATTATTAATCCATGTATTTCATTTATTTCATTGTGTGGATGCCTTGTCTGCAAGAATAAACATAATTTGGTGAAAGAGAGAGGAAACTTCTACAACTGGAAATAGCTTTCTTTATTGTTTGAAGCGACCAAGCTGGTCAAAAAAGAGGTGTGGTTTTTTTATCCCCACAGACTGAGGCACCAATAATGGTTCGTCCATTTCTGGCTCTCGTGACACGTTCTGAACTCCATGCTGTCATGATTGGAAGGTTTGGCACCATAGCTGGTGCCGTATTAGCAGCATAATTATGTCCTGTGTTTGGAGATCAGACGAAAAATGAAGCAAGCTTCTTTGTATTGTATCAGTCAGTTGAGGTAGTTATTTAGATTGGAATTAAAAGTTTGTTCTTCAATGCAGCAATGTATCGTGTAGAATACTTATTGGAAACTCACTTTAGTTCTTTGTTACATGAAGCTAAGCTCTCGAATCTGCCAAGCGATTGAGACCATATCAAGCAGAGGAATTTTCGTTTCTTGCTACAGATGAAAGCGAAAAAGATATTTTAATCATGAATGGTTCATCAAGAAGGATGCACCAATCAACATAAAAACCAAAGGACGCAAATCATGTACATGCATGCCGCATAGGTGAGTCAGTTTTCCTGGTTTCAAACGTGGTGTTACCACTATACTAACAAAATGTAATACTTTTGAATCTACATGTAGCCTGTTTATATTTTCACCTTGCCTTTTTATATGCGTATTTGAATTTCACTGTCTTTTCAGTCATTAACCTTCCTTTATCATCTGAGCGATCTCAATGTTTGGTCACGGCAAGCCCCACCCTCTTTACAACCCAGCAGACGTCACTGCCGGCAGGTTGGTTTTATGTTGTCGTGAAATTGTGCACGTCATCGGAAATCCCAGGCATCATGCTTATTGTTAATGGAAACGTTTGACAATTCGCAGGTGATCTGTTCCTATGTGTGCAGATACCCTTGGATTGCATGATGGGTGTGGAGTGGGAAGAGGCTGGAACAGTCGCCGAGTTGCTTGGAGTAGAGACTTTCCTCAACGAGTCTCTTGCATATGACAAACTGTCAAGTTTTATCGACAATCGGGTTTGTTTGTTTGTTTTTTTGTCGTGGCGGAATGGTTATTTCTGAAAGTGTGGTCAGAATATGTTGTTATATCGTGTAGAGAAAATTCAGTGTGATATTTGTATGTTATCCCTCCTATATCAGTACAGTGGGCCCCACTACTACAACAGCATTTGGTTGTAATGGGGATACGTTGGTCCTGGTGGTCCTGTAAAAGTCGAAGCCCACTGATTTATAGAATTAAGGAGAAAAAAAAAGTCAATACCATACTTTGATTTTTTAACCTTTATTTAAAAGTGAAATACAATATTGTGGAATATGGTAGTGCAATTCCCTCTTCCAAACTGCTTTTATCTGTTTATGACTTCCCAATGGTTGGACTTGGTTTGTCATTTGTTTGGGTTGGGGGGTTTTCAGGTAATGTTCTGAGTATTTTGTGTGCATGCAAATTATTTAGACATAGGGCCTACAATTTCATGGCTCAAAGCTCAGCATCAAATATTGTGTTTTATTTATATATTTGCACAAGAGACAGTAGTTTGGCGTTGATTAAAATCCTCTAGTTGCATGAGAAAGGCAGTACATGTACAGTACTGGTAAGAACAATTTTTATGTAATCAAACAGATAAAAGTGGACAAGAAAATAATTGAGAGGAAAATAAGAATGTGAGTGTTTTATTGAGTAAGGATAGGGTATGGATGCAGGATGTCACATTGTTGTTTTGTTATTTTGTTTGTTTGTTTGTTGTTGTTTGTTTGCTGTTTTTTATTTTTGCTTTAGTTATTACACCTTAGTATGTTTTATTTCGTGACAGATTCGCTCAGAGATTATAGCCACCTACGCTCTGTGTGGGTTTGCTAATTTAGGCTCCGTTGGTATCCAACTTGGAGGTCTGTGCCCTATGGTTCCTAACCGGCTGGGAGACCTAGCTCAGCTGGCAGTAACTGCTCTGCTTGGTGGCATCGTCACAAACCTCCTGACTGCATGTGTGGCTGCTGAGTCCACTAATAGAAATATGGGAGGTTCCTGATTTGACTTGGTTAGTTCTGATACATCGTTATGTTAAATGTAGTTTCAAATCATCTTTTATTTTTTGGGTAAGTGTTTAACGGCGCTCGCAACTGCTTAAGATCATATGAGCGAGCGGGACACAATAGAACAGTTTTTCAGTAGGTAGAAAATTTTGAATTTTGCCCGGATGGCGGCCGAAGCTTACTCTTATCAATTTTAGGACCACCAATGGATCTTCAACTTGCGCATCTTGCACACGGGACCTCTGAGATTTTGAGCCGTTATCCGAGAAGGCTAGGTGTTAGATCTTACCTACCATAAGATCAGTTCTGTGGATGAAAGACAGCAGTGAGAAGCAGCCGAGGAGTAGCAGTAGAAGTAGAAAAGCTACAGAAAGAGTCAGGAGCCCAGAGGAGGGGGCAAAGGGGAGAAGGGAGGGGGAAGGGAGCAGAAAGTGGAGACGACAGCAGACGACAGAATATGGAAATTTTAGAGAAGAAAATTTTCTGTCGCTGTCCGGATTCGAACCCGGGACCTATTAAATGAGAGGCAAACACCGTAACCTCTTGACCACGAGTGTTCCCTTATTTAGTCGTTAAGAAAACACGTTTAAAAAACCGAGTTGTTTACATTTTCTTTTGTTCATGATGAGCATAATTCCAGTAGGGACGCAGAATGTGTGCTTTTTTCTTGGTTGAGTAAAGTTGTTCCCGCATCCGATCCGGACATTGGGGATTGCCTAGTTAGTGAGACAACTTCCTGAGCCTTCAGCATAATGTGGTAGGGTGGCCAGTTCCTTTCCACCCGCCTTTACTTCCCCACCTCAAAGTCAAAGTCAGGGGTACCCATTACTGCTGGGTGGGCAGGAGGGAGTTGAAAAAATCCGTGTCCGAACCGAGGCTCGAACCCGGACTTTTCCGCTTCGGAGACGAGCGTACTTACCGTTCCGCCACCACACCCTCAACTCTTGGTTGAGTAATCGAAGTAAAAAAAAAACCCAGACGTAGCTACTGGGTGCACAAAAGCCACCAACGACGAAAATCATCATTTTAGAAGTACGTTCATGGGAGAAACAATGTTTAAAACACAAAGATGTGGCCTGTTCTGCTATTTTTCAATTTCTTTCTAAAGTGGGACTATATTTAATTGGAAAAGAGGAGAACCAGCTTTCGAGAAACATTGTTACCATAGCAACGTTTGATCATCACGTTTAAGTAAGAAATTTTACCCAGGGGCGAAGGCTGACTTGTTTGACAGGGTAATCAAAGTGAAATGGGACCAGATATGGCCTGTAGATATCACACAAGAATCTTACTCGAGGCGGCGACTCTGAGTTGTGAATGAAAACAAATCCGGAATTCATATTGCATGTTCAACCGCCAAAATAATCGGGAAAGTATCTTATTAAATATCAGTTCCCACTAAAATTAAACTTCGCTTTAGATGTGAATACATAAACACAAAGCAAAGAAGCAGAGATGTCAGTACTAGATCTATATGTTATAGATCTACCAGTGAGTCTAACTCTTTGGTAGAACATGACAATTATTTAGTTGAAGCAAAATGAGACATTCCGTGACCGTGGAGCGCAGAAGTCGCGTTCTTTGGCTTTTTGGAGACTTTAGGAGTTAAAAAGAAAATTTAGCTCCCATGCCTCTTTGAAAATAGTGGGCGTTGTACATAATTTACATGTAAACTTTGTACCGTGTTAACATGCAAAAAAAGTTCAGGTAACTGGCTAGCATAATCACCGCAATGGACTGTTTTGTTTACATTCGCTTGGGGACAATGCCTCTGATCGCGTCTGTCACAATTCCAAAATCATGACATGATCACCCTCAGTTTTGATCTTTTATTTGAAACGGTTTGAACTGGATTCGTCCATTTGGTCACTTGTGGCATACACATAAACAGGTTGGATGCATTACTGTAGATCTAGTATTAATTGTCATGCAGAAATAGGTAGAACAAAACAAATTCGTAAAGGTGCCGCAAAAATTTTGCCTATAACACAGCGGGATTCCCCGGATGGCATTTCGGTGCGCGATCAAGGCATTGTGCGTGTTGTAACAAAACCTTAAACTACGACATTCCTTGACAATGAAAGTAAAAACATCCCCGAAAGATCGGATGTTCCATTAGAGCAAGTTTTAAAAGCTAACTAATAATATAGAATTAGTGTTGCCAATTTATATATACTCATAATTTTTTTAAATGTGTTTCTAAAAAGAAAACTGATTCGAATTTACCATTTTGAAACTAAGCTATGCACCGCTTGCTATACTGTCTCCAACAGTAACATACTTATTGCCCTCATTCATAGATGTTGACTTGTGATTGGTCGCTTACGGTGAAGAGGAATATTTGTCCCATTTTGCCTGCGGATGGTAAAGAATGCCCTGCTTGTACTTTAATCAAATATATTTGCCCCAAAGGTATTAATTTGTATCCACCACGCTTCTAAACTGGTATTTCTCTTCTTTTCAGATAAATGCAACATAAAGAATGAGAAAATGATGTCAGTATAACACTTATTTTTTACTCCAAAAATTGTTGTTTTTTTAAATACGAGAACAATGTGTCTGTCTTGTGTGAGTGTTTGCTTAAACACGTGAATTGAAAAAGCCACTCAAACCCTCTCATATATAAACCAGTCTCCGTGAAACACTGTGAAAACAAAATCTGAAAGTGGTGAGGGCTTGATAAATGTGTGATCTCTATGAATCCACTCAGTGGACAGATGTCCCGTGGAACTATTTCATGCACCTTCTGATTCTTTCACAATAATTGTAATACTTTAAAAAATAACAACAACCCACACACACACTTTAAAAAAAACCCTTGAACTTTAAATGGAAAGAGACGACGGCAAGACTTTTCTGGCGTGAAGATCCAGACCTTAAGGATGGACTGTCAAAAGTTTCCTTGTCTACTTCTACCCTGTCTGGTTCTTTTGCAAACATCAGCTACCACCCTGAACGTTGGAACAAGCACGTATCCCAAGGCGGTGGAGAGTCTGGTTCGGCAATGAGTCTTTAGAAAATAAATCTTTCAGATTTCTTTTTCAAAACGTTTTGAAAGCATATCAAATTTTTAAAGGACAAATATATACGTTCATTGAAGTCCCTTCTTGAAGATCACTAGCACATTCCCGATGACTGTGGGTATGCAGTTGGGAATATGAAATCGGCATATCGGTCGGAGTTCCGTACTAAGAAATGCAGAGATTCCATAGGCTTTAAGTACGAAAAGGAAAAGAACAAACATGAGTGGTTGTGTGATATTAAAGGAAGGGAATATTATAACAGGTCAGCAATACAAGCTCTTGGGGTAAGCGACCAGAAGGTGATCCAAAATGTTGCGCCTCGATTGTGTAACAGATACAGGAAAGAGACATAGTAACGTGGCTACCTGACAAAAGAGCCTGAAGAAAGTGAAGAAATGGCCCCATTACTCTTGAAACGTAACTGTATAACACTGCTCAAGAATCTGAAAAAAATATGTATAGGCCAACAACTATGGTTTACTAAGCACGTGGAGAAATTGGGAGCACAGTCATTAAGATGGGCATAAGTAGGCCTATGCACGGTGTCAAAAGGAGCAGAAATTTGACGGATACTATGCTCAAAAGTGATGCCGATACATATATCAGCATCTGGACTGTATGGATTTGCAGGATATGAAAACATCTTTTACTTTTCCACAAGAAATTGCCAGTGGAAAAACTTGCTATTGTCATCGTTGATCAGGATTAGCTCTATTCAAAGCCGATGCGTCATGAGGGGATGTGACTAGGGCTCATTAGATAAAAATTTACCTACAGTTTTAAGAAGCCAGTGAAAGAAATTATGACAACCAAGGTCCCCTACTGGTAATATTGAAAAACGAAATCACTGCAAAGTTGAAGATTAAATTAACTTAATCTCCAATTGAAAGTAACCGTGAACCAGCAGGCCATCAGGAAGTTCCTGAGTGTCAGGATATTGTTCCAATTTTATTTTTGGGGGGGGGGGGGGGGGCATTTCATTTTTTAAAATGGCATACAAATACGCTTCTTTCATACTCTTTAAAGGAACTGGGTTGGCTGACTTTTGTGGTTGCAGCCTGAACTGCATACCAAGCTTTCCTAGAGAAACATAACGGGCTATTGGTGTTGGGTGTATTCTTTTGTTGAGAGAAGCTCTTGCCCATGACAGATTCATCAGCATAGGAAGCACAAATCCTTCAATGTAAAGGACAACCTAAATGTTCCCAATGCATCTCAAGAACTCATATTGGTGGCTACAATGCAGCTTGGGAGAATGTTGAAAAAAAAGGAACTAGCCAAGCAAGTGTACGAACAGCCTGACACAGACATGGAAAAGTTTTAGGTGTCAACTGGAGATGTCAAACTCACTGGATCAAAATGTTAATGCATGCCATCTGAAAGACGCTGAAGAGTAGCCAATATAGTCAATATGACATCTGCATTCGATCAGGTTCATCACTTATTATGGTCACCACAAATACTCCAAGCGGCTTACAGATTTGTGGGCTATTCTGGCGTCACTGCTGAAGGGACACCTGAATGAATTTTTTTTTCGTTCACGTTATGCTCATTCATGTCAGGCCATCCTTATCCATGCATGGATTGCAACTGTTAAATAGGCAATGCTGGCAAGTTCGCCCTAGTCTTCCTGCGATACCCCAACAGTTGTCAATTTTGGATAGCTTTAATACCACAGCCTCCATTCATACTAGCAATAATGAATGTAGCAAGCTTGTAAACCAAACTGATCAAGATAAAGACGAGAGTAAAGACTAAACAGGTTATTGTCCTTTAGATTAATGTTCTTTCTAATTATGTAAGATTATCTTTTGAACGTCTAAACTGCATATTATCCCTTAACGGCGATATTTTTTGCGGGTTGCATCGATTCTAAAATGCTGCGAAATCAGATCTACACAGTGAATCCTGCCCTGCAGTGTTATAGATCAATGGTCACAGGTTTACACATATGCAAAAAGTACAGACAAGGC